GTAAATTTGAACAATTTTTTTCAAGCTTATTTTGAAATTCAAGTTCAATTGTTGAGTTTTTCTTTATGTCAGATCAGAATTTTTTGCCAAATTTTTTTTTCTGCGGTAGAGTGCCGTGGAAAGCGGCCAAGGCGGAGCGGGGTGGAAGTGCGGTAGGTGACCAATTATCCCCTAAGAAGGTTTCTGAGCACGTTTTGTTACGGTTATATCAACAAAAAAACTCTGCTTTTGTAGTCGAAATTACAGTTTTTATAGCCCATATATTGAAAATTTAAAAATTTGAGTTAGATTTTGGTTTTAATTAAATTTTGATTGCATTGTTTTTTTTAAAAAAATTGAAGCAAAAAACGCGATAAAACTACTTTTTCAGTGTTGAAAAACTAACAAAATCATGTCTCTTTTTGTATAATTTGTTTTGTGTATTTGAATCATTTTGATTGAAAAAATTGAAAATTTCTAAAATTGAACTTTTGGTAGATTTCAAATAAAATTTTGCAAGTAAATAAAGCTTTTGCAAGTACGGCAGCAGAAGAATCCATACACAGTACACAGTTCTCTTCTCTTTTTGTTTTTTTGAATACCTTGCAAGAACTGAATACCTTGCATCTGCTTTTCAATATCTGCTTTTGAGCTGCTGACTTTAAGCTGCCGAGTTTCTGCTAATGATTTTGAGCTACTGATTTTGGGCTGCTGATTTCGAGCTGCCAAGTTTCAACTTTTGATTTAAAATGTTTTATTCTGAGCTATTGATTTTGAGCTACTGATTTTGAGCTGCCAAGTTTCAGCTTTTGATTATACATTTCTAGTTTTAAACAATTTCGAGCTAAAACTTTTGAACTAATGCTTTTGAATTTCCGTTTTTGAGCTAAAAATTTTAAGCTCAAACTTTTGAGCTAGTGATTTTGGGCAGCCGATTTTGTGCTAATGATTTTGAGCTACTGATTTTGATTTACTGATTTTGAGCTACCATTTTTGGGCATTTGGTTTTGGGCTGCTGATTTTGAAATACCAAATTTCAGCTATTGAAATTGAATTTCTGCTTTTGAGCTAGAAATTTTCAGCTCATACTTTTGAGCTGGTGATTTTGGGCAGCCGGTGACTTTAAGCTACTAATTTTTAGCTCCTGAATTTGAAATTCTGGTTCTGAGCTACTGAATTTGAGCTAATGATTTTGAGCTACCGATTTGGATCTTCTGCTTTTAAGCTGGTGATTTTGAGCTACAAAGTTTTAACTTTTGGTTTGATTGAGTTAATGATTTTGTGCTACTTATTTGAGCTACCAATTTTCAGCAACTAATTTTGGGCTAGTGATTTTCAGCTACCAAGTTTCAGCTTTCGATTTTGAATTTCTGATTTTGAGCTTTTAATTTTAAGCTAATGAGTTTGAGCTAAGGATTTTGAGCTACTGATTTTGAGCTACTATCTTTACGCTGCTGAATTTGGGCTGCTGATTTTGAGCTACCAAGTTTCTGCTTTTGATATTGAGTTTCTGATTTTGAGCTAAAGATTTTAAGATAATGTTTTTGAGCTGGTGGTTTTGGGCAGTCGATTATGTGCTGAAGATTTTGAGCTACTGATTTTGAGCTTCCAATTTGAGTCACTGATTTTCAAGTGCTAATTTTTAGCTACTTCTTTTCAGCTTCTGATTTTGCATTTCTGATTCTGAGCTTCTGAAGCTGAGGTAATGAGTTTGAGCTAATGATTTTGAGCTACCAATTTTGAGCTAATGTTATTGTGCTTCTGAGTTTGTGCTACTGACTCTGAGCTACCAATTTTGAGCTTCTGCTTTTGAGCAGGTGATTTTGAGCTATCAAATTGCAGTTTTTGATTATAATTTTCTGATTTTGATTAATTTTGAGCTAATCCATTTGAGCTAATGCTTTCGAGCTGGTGATTTTGAGCCATTGATTTTGAGCTGCGAATTTGAGCTACGGATTTTGAGTTACTAATTTTGAATTACCGACTTTGAGCTTCTGATTTTCGATTTGGGAACCCAAGCTACTGATTTTAAGCTAATGATTTTGTTCTACTAATTTTGAGCTACTAATTTTGAATTAATGATTTTGTGCTAATGATTTTCAGCTACCAGTTTTGAGCTAAAACCTTAGGGCTCATGACAATGAGCTAAAGATTTTGAGCCACTGATTTTGATCTACTGATTTTGAGCTACCAAGTTTCAGGTTTTGATTTTAGTTTTTGGTTTTGAGCTAAAGGTTTTAAGCTAATGTTTTTGAGCTGGTGATTTTGGGCAGCCAATTTTGTGCTAACGATTTTGAGCTACTGATTTTGATCTACTGATTTTGAGCTACCAAATTTGAGCAACTGATTTTGAGTTGCTGATTTTAAGCTACCAATTTTCATGTTTTGATTTTAATTTTCTGGTTTTGAGCATTTTTGAGCTAAAGGTTTTGAGCTACTGAGTTGGGGCTGTAATTTTAAGCTATCAAGTTTCTGCTTTTGATATTGAATTTATGATTTTGAGCTAAAGATTTTAAGCTATTGTTTTTGAGCTGGTGATTTTGAGCTGCCACTTTTCTGCTAATGATTCTGAGCCACTGATTTTGAGCTACTGATTTTGAGCTAGGAATTTGAGCTACTATTTTTGAGATGCTAATTTTGAATTACCGATTTTGAGCTTCTGATTTTGAATTTCGGAACCCAAGCTATTGATTTTGAGCTAATGATTTTATGCTAATGATTTTGAGCTACCTAGTTTGAGCTACTCATTTTGAGTTAGTGATTTTGTGCTACTGATTTTGGGCTTTTGAAATTGAGCTAAGGATTTTGAGCTACTGATTTTAAGCTATTGATTTTGAGCTACTGATTTTGTGCTGCTGATTTTTAATTCACCAAATTTCTGCTTTTGAATTTGAGTTTTTGATTTTGAGCTAAAGATTTTAAGCTAAGGATTTTGAGCTACTGATTTTGATCTACTGATTTTTAGCTACCAGTTTTGAGCTACTGATTTTGGTTTTAGGAATTTGAGCTACCAAACTTGAGCTTTTGAAATTGAATTTCTGTTTTTTAGCTAAAGATTTTAAGCTCATACTTTTGAGCTGGTGACTTCGAGCAGTCAATTTTCTGCTGATAATTTTGAGCTACTGATTTTGATCTATTGATTTTGAGCTACCAATTTGAGTTACTGATTTTGAAGGGCAAATTTTAGCTGCTAGTTTTGAGCTTTTGATTTTGCATTTCTGATTCTGAGCTTATGACTTTGAGCTAAAGATTTGTGCTAACATTTTTGAGGGTTGATTTTCAGCTATGATTCTGAGCTACTGATTTTGAGCTACCAATTTTGAGCTAATGACTTTTTGCTACTAAGTTTGTGCTGCTGACTCCGAACTTCAATTTTGAGCTTCTAATTTTTAGCTGGTGATTTGAGCTGCCGCTTTTCTGCAATTAATTTTGAGCTACTCTGTTTGAGCTACTGATTTTGAGCTACGATTTTGAGCTACTGCGTTTCAGGTGCTAATTTTTTGAACTATCAATTTTGAGCTTCTGGTTTTGAATTTTTGATTCCGAGCTATTGATTTTGAGCTAATGAGTTTTGAGCTACTGACTCTGAGCAACCAATTTTACGCTTCTATTTTAGAGCTACTGGCTTTGAGTTCCTGATTTTGAGCTTCTGATTTAGAGCTTTGTAAGGAAACATAATAGTTGAAATTATGAAATTACATCAGTCAAAGTTAATGGCAAGCTGATGCAGCATCCTTTTCGGACTACATTTATTAAAAAATTGTTTGAAATAAAACTTCCCTTGGTAACTCAGTTTTTTAAATCATTTCACCACCTTGAAATTTAGTCCATCTAAAAAACTAATCACTATTTTTGCCAAAAATTTTGCATTATATATGTTTTTTTTTGGTTTTTCGGTTTTTGTTCCGATCATTTAAAAAATGGGGAGGACTTGTATTCGGATGTGTTTTAGTTATTTCTTTTTGTTTTCCAAGTACCACAAATAATCATTGGACTGGGTTGAGTGATACATCATATTAAAGCCCATACAGTCGTGATTCGAACCACATTAAAAAAACTCTATAAAGTTCTTCAATGCAGCGACTGAAGCGAGCGAGCAGTTTTATTTCAATTGATTTTTTGCATAAAAGGTTACAATAGCCTAATTTAAAGGCTAAGAACTTAATTTTACTTGGGTAATGATAGTTTGCTTTGAATATTTTAGCGCGTTTTTGGAATCAACTTTTTAAAAAAGTCAAAAAAATTCAGTTTTTTCGAAAGTTTTTGTTTGATTTTTTTTTCGTTTTCTAATAATTTTTCTACAAAAACTGTTTTTCAATTTGCTTATTTTAGTATGGCTGTCGAATATATCTAGGCCCCAGTTTTTTTTGTTCAGCTCATTTTATCGCTCCTTGCCAAAAAAAAAACAATAATTTGAAAACACTTGGTTGTTTTTTTTAAAATTGTGGTCGGAACATTCTGTGCTCTTTGCACAGTAGCCTTGCACAGTAAATCCTTGTTCAAATTTGCGAAATGACGAAAAAAAGAAAATGGAGATTAGGCCTGAAATGTCTGAAATTCAAAAGTGTTCCGAACAACTTTTTGCCAAGTTTTATTGGATCATTTCTTTTCATCTAAAACAATAGGCAAAAGAGCTTAGAATGATATATCTTTCGACCCTGTAAGTCTTTTCTGCGAGCAACTGAATTTGGTTGGGAAAAACATCTCCATCCGAATCACTTTAGCGGATGCCATTATCACGTTTACGGTTTTTAAACAAATCAATTCAAGTTTTTTTCTTTTTTCATTTTAACAGTTCGGGGAGCTGATTAAAGTTGAGTTCGGATTTGTTCTGAGTTCGGATTTGTTTGACTTGTGTATCGAATTTGGCCGACCTTGGGTTTTTATCGACCTATATAAACTGGTTCGATGACATCGTTCAACCCATGCGATCGATAAAAAAATCGACCACCTCAACCCGGGTGTTGGTTCTGCCATCAAATGCAAAACTAGATTGCAAAGTCAGTTTAAAAAAGCTCTTAACACCTCTACAGTAGTAATTTTAAACAAACAAAAACTTTCATAGACGCAAAAACTGGGAAGTATCACAACTTAAAATGTATTTTATACAAAAATTAATCATTCATGGTTCGATTCTGTGATAGTTTTCAAATAGTTTTCATCATCCGTTTCTTCAGCCTGAACTTTTTCAGCCTGAACTTCTTTGTCAGCTTCAATTATTTTACCGTCGTCTTTTTGAACATCAGACTCATTTAGCGTCGGTTCCGATGTGTCGTTTATATCCTTATTAGGAAAATTAGACTCACTTTGAGCTGATTCCGCAGCAGTTGTGCTTGTATCGGTTTCAGCTAAGCTGGCTTCTTTTTCGCTAGACGGAGAAACTTTCTCATTTTCATTTGTGTCTTTAGTCTCAGTTGAGGTAGAACCCAATTCATCGGATATATTCTGATTTTCGGCTAGGGACGCTTTCGGCTCGTCGGCTGAAACACCTTCATTCTCGTCAATTGATTTCGTCTCTACTTCGTCATCAAAAGAAACAGACTTTCGACCACTTGACGAAATAGCTCGTGCTTTGTCATCAGGCCCGGGCTCAGTTCCTTCTACATTACTGATTTCTCTCGGCTGCGTAATGAACACTTTGTTCGAGTCGGCTGAATCATCTTTCGGCTCTCGTTTTGACTCGCTCGGCGTCGCCGGCGGAGCATCCATGTTGAATTTTGCTAACTTTTGCTTCGCCGGGAACGCTGGTCGAGTTTTGGGTGGCTTCCGAGCCAGTTTTCGAGCATTTGGATCTTTCGGCGGTGCTGCAGTTTTGCCCAAACCGAATTGATCCGAACTACTAGTCGGTTCTTTTGGTTTGTTTCGTTGTACTAAGTTTGACTTAAATAACGTGCCTGTCGGAGCTTTGCCTCTTCTTGGTTCAATTCTATTCTCACCGTTCAAACTTATGTTGTCAAATTGATTCGGATTATATCCGAACTCTCTTCGTTCGTCTTCCGTTATCTGTCGTGCCATTATTTCAGCTGTCTTTTTATCTATATTTGGAAGTTTTTCGAAAGAATGTCTTATGCGACTAACTTTTGCTTCATCCTCGGCGTATTGTCGGCGTTCCTCGGGACTCAAAACATCCAACGAACTCAAATTTCGACTTTCGTCGTCCTCGTTTGGAATTGCTGTCGAAATCGGCTCATCCGAAGCTTTCCAAGCCTTGATATTTTCCTTGTTATCCAAAAAGGTTTTGCTCATATTTCCTACTCTCTTTTCAATCAGGGATATTTCACCCTTAGTTGGTCTACCCTGGAATCGGGTTATTCCTCCAATTCTAGGGTAGAGTATACCATATGGAACCAGTGGTGTACTTCGACTTTTGTTTCTAAGAATCTCAATTTTTCTGGCCGTTTTCCAAGTCAGATCTCGTTCGAAAACTGACTGGTCGCCGGAAGCCATCAAGACTCCAAGCGAGCTTGAAATGTAATTAGTTCTTGTAAGCTGTTTTTGTAAGTACTCTCTTGTTTTTACACGCTGTACATTCTTCTCTTTGAAAGCATACCTTTCTTTCGTCTTTCTTTCTTTTAGTCTGAGTAGGCTTTGTCGCATCGGACTGTCAAGCGCCTCGAAGTAATCTTTGGTGAAGATTATGTCATTCTGCAGCTCCTCGAGATCCAAGTCTTCGAAATCGGATAGAAGAAGATCATCAGGCACTGTCTGGGATCTCTGTAGGTTGTATCCACTTTCTTCTGTTTTCGGGGGGCGTTGTCTCTCCCGGTCTCTAACAGGATCCCCAGTAGGGACGTAGGCGCCGTTTATGGTCTGGTGGAATTGTTTTTCTGCGAATTCAGGCCTGTGAGAAACGTGTGCAGCATAGCCCGAGTCAATTTTGGGCGCACTTGATTTGACAATTAGTTCCCTAAAAAGGCAAAAGTTAAGGTTAATGCTCCCACCTATGCATAAAACTTGAAAAAAAGGTTTGGTATTTTTGAACGGATGAGAAACGACTTCACGTAGAACTTGGCTGAAACACCATGATCCGTGCTCGTTGCTTGAGGGTTAAGCAACTTTACCCAGCCCAGAAAAATAACCAAAAAAAAATAGTATGTAGTTCTTAAACAGGGGCACAACAGCGGTTCGCCGTGATGAGCTGTACAGCTCTTGTGTTGGTCCTTTCCCCCGTGGATAAACGGTCTTAACTAAAACAATTTTGAAGCATATCAGCAATCTCTCACAAAAATCTCGAATTTATGCTGAGCAAAGGTTTTACTCTTTTACTTATTGACTTATTGACAATAGAATAAAGTTTTCAAATGTTTGTATTACAATCATTGCGGATTTTGATTGCCTGTCAATAAATTAACCCCCGCCCTTCCCCGGTGTGGCAGGTGATCCCCCCAATTGAAACAGAGTATAGTAGTATAGTTTAACTCTGTGGCGTGTGCAGAAATTTTTTTGGGGGCGGTTTTTCGAAAAATTTTGGAAATTTTGCCGACCTTTTTTTTTTATCTCGAACAATTTCATTTTCGAGCTCTCTGAAAACACTATACTGACCCTATTTTGTCAAAAATTTTCTGCCCCGCTGGCACATTCTTTAAAAACAGGTTAAAAAAGGCGTTTTTAGGTACTTTTTGGAAAATTTTGACCACTCACCACTCAAAATTATTCATATTGGCGCCGAAGCATTTTGAGATTGGTTAGCAAAAATTGGATGTCGTACAAATATACCAATGGGGGACCCTTAGGGAAAGTTCGGCAACCAGAATTGAGGAGGGAGGGAGGGAGTTAGTCGCCCCCCCTTCCCCTCGGTACGCTACTGGTATACCTGGTGATGTTGAATCTTTCCTCGGGAGTGGGTGCGACTGCATTGGGCTGCACTATGAAGTTGTTCAGCCCAGTGACCTTCCGCAGGGAGGAGAGCATGTGTCTGGGGTAGACTAGTCGGAACTGGGGCTGCAGCTGCTGCTGCTGATGCTGCTCGTACTGAGTCAGGTTCTGCTGGTGGGTGTATCTTTTGAAAATCAAAATTATTAAAAACAGACAGAGAAAGTTATAGAAAACCGTTCAAAATTCCAAGAATTATGGATAACAGGGGCTAATTTAGGGGGTATGCATTTTTTCAAGGACTCGACCCCCTCGCCATTTAAACGGTCTCTCTTTAGTGCTTTTTTTAACGAATTGAAAAAAAGAATCAACAAAAGAGAAAACATCAAATGTTTTCAATTGAAAATCCTACTTCAAGTTTTTTTTTACTGATGTTGTAGGGATTTTCGACGAATTTCGACATATTTTGTTGTGATTCTGTAACAGACAATTTACGTACGCTACTGTTCGCGGGCTCTGTGCGAACTCTTCTTCATGCAGTTTAAGCTTCGGCACACTTCGTACAACTGTCGTTCGTTCTCGGTCGCTCAACCAATCAGGAAGATTTATTTCATTCTCCCCGTACGACTGCGAGTGACTCCAACTCGTGTTGTGCAGTCGCCCTGTCAACTTCGGAGTTTTGATTCGGTGGTAGTCCAGATCGGCCCCGACCGCAGAAGACTGATTCGGCGTCGGGGGCACTTCGGCCGATGCCATTGATTGGGATCTTCGAACAACTTCGTTCGGCTTTTTACTGTCGTGTAGTGTATTAACTGCGCAGAGTTTAGAAAGTACAAAGAACTGTTGTTGTGTTGCTTTTCGTTCTATACATGCTGAAGCTGATTTGCTTCTCTGTGTTTTATCTGCAGTTGATTTTCTTTTCAAAGGTGAATTTTTGAAGTAACTTTGGCCACTGTTTGTATCAATCTAAAACTCACACAGAGGTATTACAGATATTAATGAGTCTCGAATTCATCTCAGGTGATGTTTGAAAACTGTTGTGGCTGTGTTGGTTTCAATAAAAAAAAAACAATAAATGGACCGTTTATGTGCTGAGATTTCGCTGATTAAAATGCTGCTTAAATAACCATTTAAGTACAAAAAACAATGCTTTGACCTCTTTCGGCGCGCGATTCTCCTCAATTAAGGCATGCTTTGTCGCTGAAGATGTTCTTAGAAAAAACTGAAAAGTCACTGAAAATGGATGTCCAAAAATGGTACCAAAAGGAGGACTTTTTAGGCAGTCAGCCGTTGAAATTGCCAAAGGAGGGGAGAAAAGTTCATGTATTTTATTTATATCTTTTTTTGGCAAATGCCTCTTTCTCGTTTTTCGTCAAAATGTATCCGCCAATGAAATTTGAAGCTATTGAGCAAAAAACTGACGATAACACGAAACTATAGTGCAGAGGCAAAAAAAATAATAAGAGGAGTCCTTCATTGTTTAGATAGCACAGAAAAAAAACTCACAGTTACTATGGCAAAAACTATTTCAAAGTCGAAAACAAAAATCATAACAAAACATTTTCGAAACTTTTTTAAAAGATCAATTTCGATCCAGCCAGAACTTTTAAAATAGTTTCAGCACCGATCTGTCAAAATTTTAGGCTTTTCTTTTCATTAGTGGCAGGAAAAAAGTCAAGAATGTGAAGAAAACAGACGTTCATGTCTTAATTTGGAAACAAAACGAAACAATTTTTCTCCCATTTCTGTACTTTTATCAGCCAGTAGATTATTTAAAGTTTTTTGTGCAAAAAATCTCATTGCTCAATTTATTTTCCCTATTAACTAATGACGTTTTCATACAAGTTCGGTTTGTTAAAGGTAGGATATTTAGACAAAAAGTACCAAAACTTCGAACTAAAAAATGGAGTGCGCTTAAGATTTTTTTTAAAAAAAAATGCCAAGATCTTCATTTTATGTATTGTAAGATAGTATATATAGGTTGCAGCAAGAAAATTGCAGCATAAAAAAATGTAGATCACACTGAATTTCGCTACCCAGAGCAAAACAGAAAAAAAGCTGTTTTGATGAGTAGCCATTTAACACTGACTTCAGACACAAAGTTAACACATAGTTAGCTTTATTAAGTGTTAATGGAGAAGCCAAAGCATGACATTTTCTGAGCTTTAGACAAATTTTCCAAGGAGCTGAACAAAAAGTTTCTCAAAGTGATTTATAAAATTACTAGGAGTTTGTGCAAGCTATAATATGCTGAAGACAATTTACCCTGCTCCAATAAACCTGTGCCAATTCACCCTATACCGTTTTCAACCTATATACAAATTTACCCTCTGCCAATTAATCTTATGCTAGTTTACCCTACAGTTACGTTTTATCGTTTACCACACTAGCTATTAGGGGCCTGTTTGAAAGTGTAAATTAAAGACAACCCGCATCCAAGTTAAGGCGTAAGTAATCGATTATTACGGATTATTATGATGATTTTTTGACAATTTAAGTTGATTATAATTACCAAAACTAGGTGTTCCGAAACGAGATTTTATAATTGATTAAAATCGTGATATTTTCCAAGAGATTATGATCTCTTATAATCGATTATAAATGATTAGAGTTCTTACAAAAACCCCTTGATATCAATTATAATCGATTATAATCGATTATGTTCTCTTATTTTGCCAAAATTTTATCAATTCAAAACGAAAACTATAATCTATTTATATTTTATGGGCTTTTATATTTGTGTCAATACGAAAATCACTAAAAGAGAGATCTCTTGAACACTTTGGTTCATCTGAACACAAAGTTTCACCACGAAATAAAAGTTTCATAGAGATCCTTTCATATTTGTGGAAAGTTTCCCGCGGTAGAAGACAAATAAATCTTCCGTTCACTCATGAAACTAAATCAATTTGCTGATGTTTTGGTGGTTAAAAAGCTGAAAATATTTATCACAAAACAACTTTGATGGGGAAGAAATGAAAAAATTATAAATTTATTAGATTCTTATAAATTATAAGAAAAACCTTATAAATTTGAATTGGCTGAGAAACTTTACCAATATTTTTCTCATTTTTCATAGGAACCAACGTCTACAAAAAGCATAAAATATAAGCAATTTAGGTGCAACTTAGAAGACGAAATGGACAAACAAAAGGGATTATAATCAATTATAATCGATTATAATGGATTTTTGCGCAAAACTAATGAACTATAAGTATGAGTAAAAATAATAGATTATACTCAATTATAATTAAATATAATCGTATCGAAAAACAGACGAATAAATAATTGATTATAATCAATTATATTGGATTATAATTAATTATAGTTTAATTTTAAAAAGAGAGATTATAATCGATTATTAATTAATTAAAATTAATTTTTTCTCAATTTTAGTGAGACTGGTACTAAAATTGTAATATAATCGATTATTAACGCTTGAAACTGGATGCGGGAACGCTCAGTAGGCTGCTAACTGGCTTTTTAATGCTCATCTAGGATGGTTTCTTCATATGATTTTTGCAAATCAAAATCAACTCTGTTCTCTTCTTGAAAACTATTTTTTATTTGTTCTTATTAATTCATTTGAGATCTACCATTCAGAATCATAATTTATCTCGGTTAAAATTCCGAGCCCTTTGTCGACAAAATTTCTATCAAAAAAGTAGCATTTAAAACAATTAGCAGGTTTCATCTCCAGTTCATTAACTCAAATAAAAATGAACACAATAATCGAATCTTTTTATCATATACAATAAGCCAAATTACATGGGGGGATTAACATTTATTGCAAAACAGTTTTTATGGAAGGATATGACTTCACGAAAAAGCCAGAAGCAATGAATGGCAAGGAACATTGAAATGCAAGGCGACTCCCACAAATACAAGGTTTTTTTTTCATTTGGGTGAACTTGAAAATACTGTAGTTGACGCTGTGGCGTAGTTTTGGCCTTCAAAGACTTGAAATCTGCAGTAAAAAAAAACCGGCTATAATGAATTTAGGAAAAGCAATCAAAAATATCAAATTTTTTCTTTATAAAATTAAAAATATTGTTTTTCATTTCCGCTAAAAACAAACTTTTACTTTTCTTGAGGCAGAGAAAAGAGATTGAGTTCGCGGAAAAAAAAACATTAAATTTGCTGCATATTTATGATAAAGAACTCATTGTCTCATCCTCCCGTCTGGTAACTTCATCTGCAAAAAATAACTTCATCTGTTTCAGACCAGTTTTCCACGTCACATAAAAACATTGATGCAAAAGTTCAAATAAGAGCATTTGACCCCTTGCAGCTTTTCTTGTCGTTATTGAAGCCTAAGTTCATTTCGCGACGGGGACCGAACGAGTCAAAATTTTACCTGCTTTTTTGACATATGATTAGAATGTTGCCATGTTAGGTTTTGTACAAAATCCAGATATGAAAGTGACAGTATTTGTCTCAGACTGTTTCAGAATTAAAAGCCAAAAGCAAGCAGCTCAGATGAAAAGGCCATGAACGTGGCAAGTCGTGAAATTTAGGGTATATGCACTTTCGATGGATCCTCTTACTAACAATAAATTTTAAAGACAACTGTTTTGCAACTCTGCTTAGATTTTCCTGTTTTTGACCATGGCTGAACATATTCCCGGACCGGGTAATTTGAGCGCCTTGTTCCAAACGGCTATAGAAAATGAAATGGAACTTAATGGGCCCTTAAATTTATGTTCTGCAAAATCTCGATCGCGTGAAAACTTAAGCTATATTTCATAGCGTTTTTGATATTCAAACTGGTTGGAACACTGATAACGACAGTAGCCACGCAAACCATGGAAATGTTTGAGAAACTTGGAATTGGTATAATTCAAATACATGCCAGCGACCTTTGCTTTTCCAAGCGGATTTTCTTAAAATATTGCGGGGAATTAAACTAAGGGGAATTGAACTGTTGCTAGAGATTCCGTTCATAGCTGAAATCATTCTAGAATTTCAGAGCAATACCCTCACACGCCCAGAAGTTTGCCAGGAAGGTTTGCTCTGTCCTTAGAAAATTGCGAGACGTGCAAAAATAACTCTTACTGAGAAAGTAACTTGAAGAAATTTATACCGAGTGTTTTACCAAGCACAATTGTTACCTTCTTGAAAACTTGGCTTGTTTTGAAGGTTACTCTTTTCTCCTTTATTTTGCTCTTTTGTATTCTTACCTGGGCCTGTCAATTTGATCAATTATTTATTTGGGAGCAGCCCTGTTCTTATTTTGGCACGTTTTCAGAATACAAGTGATTTATAACCAAATCAGGGGACTTCGTCCAACAATTTTTCAAATAGCTTGAAGATTGTTTTTAAATTGCAAATTTAAAATGCCCATCAGACGACTGGATGATGAAGAACTTGCCAGAAGGTAATGTTTAATTACTCGGAATAGATTTTTCCCCAAATTTACTATCAGTGAGTTTGTGATGTTTTTAAAAGACAAACGAATCATTAAATTTCAATTAATAAATATGAATACATTTCGATTTTGTTACTTTTTTGCTTTCCGTTCTCACAAATTAAAAATTACTTTCTCTAGTAAAACGTTATTTGCTGGAAAAGTTTTTAAAAGTTTTGCTCGAGGTAGTTGTAGCAAAAAAACTATAAATTTTAAAAATTATGAACAAAATACAAAAGGGATATAAAGCTATCATTACATGAACCGAACGTTCAATGAACTGTTAGGTTATTTTGAATGATTTGAAAGCGATGAAAAAAGGTCATTAGAGGCTTTAAAAGTTTTCAAAGCGTGATATCAAAACAAAGCCACAAAATATTAGGATTTTTGACCACTGAAATTTGTACCTAAACTCCCAGTTGAATTTGGGCTAGATTTTATTCCTGCTAAGTTTTTAAATATCAACTTAGAGTAGGCTTCCCTGTCCACAAAAAGCGTAACATTGTTGCACCGACGATCGAAATTGGGGAGGAACTTTGTATTCGGGTGTTTTAATTTTTTTTCTTTTTTTTTTGGTTTTCCACGCAAAATCTGGTGCCACAAAGAATATTCGGAATGGGCTGAGTGATATATCATATTGAATCCCTTTCAGTCGTGATTTAAACGGAATTAAACAACTTTCAAGAAGTATTCTCTGTGTCGAGAAAAACCCATTTGATTTGAGTTTTTTCTGTGTCGAGAAAACCCATTTGAGTTTTGGTCTAATTTCGAGCGAATAAGGTGAGCGAGCAGGCTTTTTTCAACCAAAAATGTATACCGCGAACAATCACCATAATGAAGAGAGTGATTTATCAAAACAAATCTTTTCATTCTTGATTTGAGCGTCTTGGGAAAACGTTCAAAAAAGGGTCGCAGGGTTGAAATGAATCCGTTGGAAAAATTTGAGTTTTTGTAATTTTGAGCGAGTAAAGCTAACGAGCAGACGTATTATAGAAAAATAAAACGTGAAACTCGATTTTAAATCGTGTAAAATTATGAAACTTTTCAATACCATTTTCTTAATAAAAAGATCAAAAACTCAAAACAAATTCCTGCTCAAAACAATTCAAACGTTTTTTTTTTTGACGAGCATGATGAGCATTTTTATGAAAAACTGAATCTCAGATTATGATACGTCAAAACTTATTTATAAACTTGGGTTCATCTGCTTGTTTTCAATTCAATTCGGTAATAGGTTTCGAAACTAAACGTTTTCTTTTATAAGTTGGTTCGTTTTATTTTTTGGTAGCGTAGGAACAATTGAGTTTCAAACTTAGAGCCATTTTTTTCTAGCAAGTTTTTCAATTTTGGCTGATTTAATTTTCAAATTTTCAAAAAGTAGGAGAGATGATAGTATATTGAATTGACAATAATTATAAAAAATAGCTGAGATACTTTTGTGACGTAATTCGGACTAACTAGGCCAATTTGGGTCAAAAAGTTTCACGAAAATTTTACTAATTGATTATTGACTGGCATACACAATCTTTTGATTCGGCTGAAAATTGATTCAAAGTGAAGTCAAATAAAATTTAACTGTTGCTGTGCAGCTAGCGTGAAAAGTTTGGACCACAAAAATAAAAAAAATCATCCACAGACATACAAATATATTGCAAATTGTGATAATTTTTTATTTTTCAGCAATGAGCAGATCTGAACGAAAGCTAGCGAATGAGTACATTTGATAGGAGGAGTAAAAACCCATTTTTGACAAAAAAAGTTCATAAAAAAAGTAGTCAAACAAAAAACTTAAACTTACAAAACCGAAAGTATTTTATAAAAACTTCAAAAAGATTTTTTATTAAAAAGATCAAAAACTCAAAACAAATTCCTGCTCAAAACAATTCAAAAGTTTTTTTTCTAGTCGCAATTTGACGAGCATGAGTTTGATTATTAACTGGCATACGCAATCTTTTATTTTGGCTGAAAAATGATTCAAAGTGAAGTCAAATAAAATTTAACTGTTGCTGTCCAGCTAGCGCGAAAAGTTTGGACCACAAAAATAAAAACAAAACATCCACAGACATACAAATGTATTGCAAATTGTGATAGGTTTTTATTTTTCAGCAATGAGCAGATCTGAACGAAAGCTAGCGAATGAGTACATTTGATAGGAGGAGTAAAAACCCATTTTTGACAAAAAAAAGTTCATAAAAAAAGTAGTCAAACAAAAAACTTAAACTTACAAAACCGAAAGTATTTTATAAAAACTTCAAAAAGATTTTTTATTAAAAAGATCAAAAACTCAAAACAAATTCCTGCTCAAAACAATTCAAAAGTTTTTTTTCTAGTCGCAATTTGACGAGCATGAATTTGATTATTAACTGGCATACGCAATCTTTTATTTTGGCTGAAAAATGATTCAAAGTGAAGTCAAATAAAATTTAACTGTTGCTGTGCAGCTAGCGCGAAAAGTTTGGACCACAAAAATAAAAAAAATCATCCACAGACATACAAATATATTGCAAATTGTGATAATTTTTTATTTTTCAGCAATGAGCAGATCTGAACGAAAGCTAGCGAATGAGTACATTTGATAGGAGGAGTAAAAACCCATTTTTGACAAAAAAAAGTTCATAAAAAAGTAGTCAAACAAAAAACTTAAACTTACAAAACCGAAAGTATTTTATAAAAACTTCAAAAAGATTTTTTATTAAAAAGATCAAAAACTCAAAACAAATTCCTGCTCAAAACCTTTCAAAAATTTTTTTTCTAGTCGCAATTTGACGAGCATGAATTTGATTATTAACTGGCATACGCAATCTTTTATTTTGGCTGAAAAATGATTCAAAGTGAAGTCAAATAAAATTTAACTGTTGCTGTGCAGCTAGCGCGAAAATTTTGGACCACAAAAATAAAAAAAATCATCCACAGACATACAAATGTATTGCAAATTGTGATAGTTTTTTATTTTTCAGCAATGAGCAGATCTGAACGAAAGCTAGCGAATGAGTACATTTGATAGGAGGAGTAAAAACCCATTTTTGACAAAAAAAAGTTCATAAAAAAAGTAGTCAAACAAAAAACTTAAACTTACAAAACCGAAAGTATTTTATAAAAACTTCAAAAAGATTTTTTATTAAAAAGATCAAAAACTAAAAACAAATTCCTGCTCAAAACAATTCAAAAGTTTTTTTTCTAGTCGCAATTTGACGAGCATGAATTTGATTATTAACTGGCATACGCAATCTTTTATTTTGGCTGAAAAATGATTCAAAGTGAAGTCAAATAAAATTTAACTGTTGCTGTGCAGCTAGCGCGAAAAGTTTGGACCACAAAAATAAAAAAAATCATCCACAGACATACAAATATATTGCAAATTGTGATAATTTTTTATTTTTCAGCAATGAGCAGATCTGAACGAAAGCTAGCGAATGAGTACATTTGATAGGAGGAGTAAAAACCCATTTTTGACAAAAAAAAGTTCATAAAAAAGTAGTCAAACAAAAAACTTAAACTTACAAAACCGAAAGTTTTTTATAAAAACTTCAAAAAGATTTTTTATTAAAAAGATCAAAAACTCAAAACAAATTCCTGCTCAAAACCTTTCAAAAATTTTTTTTCTAGTCGCAATTTGACGAGCATGAATTTGATTATTAACTGGCATACGCAATCTTTTATTTTGGCTGAAAAATGATTCAAAGTGAAGTCAAATAAAATTTAACTGTTGCTGTGCAGCTAGCGCGAAAAGTTTGGACCACAAAAATAAAAAAAATCATCCACAGACATAAAAATGTATTGCAAATTGTGATAGTTTTTTATTTTTCAGCAATGAGCAGATCTGAACGAAAGCTAGCGAATGAGTACATTTGATAGGAGGAGTAAAAACCCATTTTTGACAAAAAAAAGTTCATAAAAAAAGTAGTCAAACAAAAAACTTAAACTTACAAAACCGAAAGTATTTTATAAAAACTTCAAAAAGATTTTTTATTAAAAAGATCAAAAACTCAAAACAAATTCCTGCTCAAAACAATTCAAAAGTTTTTTTTCTAGTCGCAATTTGACGAGCATGAATTTGATTATTAACTGGCATACGCAATCTTTTATTTTGGCTGAAAATTGATTCAAAGTGAAGTCAAATAAAATTTAACTGTTGCTGTGCAGCTAGCGTGAAAAGTTTGGACCACAAAAATAAAAAAAATCATCCACAGACATACAAATATATTGCAAATTGTGATAATTTTTTATTTTTCAGCAATGAGCAGATCTGAACGAAAGCTAGCGAATGAGTTTATTTGATAGGAGGAGTAAAAACCCATTTTTGACAAAAAAAAGTTCATAAAAAAAGTAGTCAAACAAAAAACTTAAACTTACAAAACCGAAAGTATTTTATAAAAACTTCAAAACGATTTTTTATTAAAAAGATCAAAAACTCAAAACAAATTCCTGCTCAAAACAATTCAAAAGTTTTTTTTCTAGTCGCAATTTGACGAGCATGAGTTTGATTATTAACTGGCATACGCAATCTTTTATTTTGGCTGAAAAATGATTCAAAGTGAAGTCAAATAAAATTTAACTGTTGCTGTGCAGCTAGCGCGAAAAGTTTGGACCACAAAAATTAAAAAAATCATCCACAGACATACAAATGTATTGCAAATTGTGATAGTTTTTTATTTTTCAGCAATGAGCAGATCTGAACGAAAGCTAGCGAATGAGTACATTTGATAGGAGGAGTAAAAACCCATTTTTGACAAAAAAAGTTCATAAAAAAAGTAGTCAAACAAAAAACTTAAACTTACAAAACCGAAAGTATTTTATAAAAACTTCAAAAAGATTTTTTATTAAAAAGATCAAAAACTCAAAACAAATTCCTGCTCAAAACAATTCAAAAGTTTTTTTTCTAGTCGCAATTTGACGAGCATGAATTTGATTATTAACTGGCATACGCAATCTTTTATTTTGGCTGAAAAATGATTCAAAGTGAAGTCAAA